GTGACTCCAATCCTCCTTGTGTTTGTGTGTGCCTTTCCTTTGAAGCTTTCTTCAGTTTGATATCAAACTATTTGGAGTAGTGAAAACCAAGAGCAATTAATGAAGAGCTCCAAAAGGATCTTAAAATTGTACATGCAAAGTATGTGACATGGGGGCACAGTAACATGGGGCACACACTTCCACCCTTCATTTATACAGTGATGGAATAAGAGCTAATCAGGAAAAAAAAATTAGGGTCACAATGGATAGTCAATTTATATGTCAACTCAATGACTTGGTAAATGTGAAAAAACAAATTATATGGTAGGGTTTATTAGAAAATAGCTATGAAAGTGCAGATATTTTTCTTCCTGGATCGGGGATTATCAGTGAAGCTGAATGGGAAAAAATTAGAACAGACAAATGAAGGCATTTCTTCACACAGTACAATTATCCCATGGAATTCATTGCCATGAGATATATTGATAACCAATAATGGGGAAACTTAGAAAGAATGGGCAAATGTATGGATGACAGCTGTGTCAAGAAGTATCAGTCTTGAAAAGTCATGGCTTCAAATACTAATTGTAGAGGAGAAGCGTACGTTTCCATCTCCCAAAGATATGTGGTTTGGCCGGTTTGAGAAACAAAATTATGGAATTTGCTGTGCCTTGACCTGATCCAGCAGAGCTATTCATGTTTGCTATTATAAGACAGATAATCTATGTAAATGTAGCATTCCTAAAAGAATGTGAGAAAGACACATACATCAATTCCTTCCCCCAAATAATGCTGGCTTTAGGCTATGGCCATGGCCTAGGGTACCATAGCTTAAGGGTGCCATTGTTGCCCTCTTTCCAAAATTCAAAATGCAAATTTGCATCAGCGAGCGATGGGGCTATCGGTCATGGTGGTCTAGGGGCGTAATATACCCTTGAGCTGGCATTGCCTCAAAAGAGGATAACTGCAATACTGTACTTCATATGGGTATAACATGACTCAGTGGTCTACTATAGCACCTTTAATACCAAATACTACATTTTCTTCTTTTTTAAGAGATTGAATTTGAATTTGAATTGAATTGAATTGAATCGATTTATAGGCCGCCCAATCCTGGAGGACTCCGGGTAGCTTACAACGAAAGAAAAAAAGAAGTAATAAAAAAATGAAAATAGAAACAGGTTAAAATCAACACGCATACATTCGTTACGATCGGGGCTGGACCTCAACAATGAGGTCAACAGCCCCAGGCCTGCCGGAATAGCCAGGTTTTAACAGCTTTTCTGAAGGCCATGAGAGTGGGTAAGGTCCGGATTTCTGGGGGTAGCTCATTCCAAAAGGGTCGGAGCAGCCACAGAGAAGGCTCTCCTCTGGGGGCCCGCCAGCCGACACTGTCTGGCTGACGGCATCTGAAGGAGGCCCACCCTGTGGGATCTCAGTGGCCGTTGGGAGGAGTGTGGCAGTAGGCGGTCTCGCAAGTATGCTGGCCCTAAGCCTTGTAGGGCTTTAAAGGTAATAACCAACA